TGTAGATTTTAATACTATATATTGATGTTTGCGGAATTTTGGTTTACCGCCACACTCGAATTAATGCTAATTTGAGAGGCGAAAAAGTGACGGAGCAAAATCGAACTTTGATTGAATGTACATAGAAATACGTACCTCTTAATTTAACCGGCTTCCACATTGATTTCAAGAAAGATCCGAACTTCGTTTTCAGTTTATTCTGCCGAAAACCTTAAGTCTGAAAATACGAAACCAAATCAGTTGTTTTATTTCGTAAAGTGACATTCAAATGCGATATTGGAAAATAAAACATACAATTTTGGGCCAAGGCACTTTATGAAAATACTCGTGTTCCCTTATATTTACTTCTAGAGGACGTCTGTACGGGTCCTGAAATGATCGAAAACAAAAGTAATTAATTCAAATTTACTATTCGAATGATTATATTTTCGTCTGTGTGTTATTTCCGATAAGACAAATGTTATTAAACTAATTAGCAGCACGTCATTAAACATTTACTTAATGATATGAAACGAGTTTTCGACATTTTATTGAATATCATCAGTGAATTAATTATAAACAGATTTATGAAAGTCCACAGAAAGACCGTATGATTACAATTAACGATATTAATTGAATGAATGCTTTTCATACAAGAAAAAACACAAAATTTGCCGTATATAATCATTGTTTTTGGCAACAGAGAAAAGTCGAATGTAGATACATAAGAGAATTACATGCTTCGGTTTGTAAATAAATGTCATTTCGTGCATAAAACGGGGAGAGACAAATCTGAATTTGTTAAGTACAATTAAGTATAATCTTACCTTTTGCAATAGGTCATAAATAAAATGTCTGGCATCATCCGATAACCCAGGAGGATACGACACCTTCACATTTAGAGCAGCTGCAAACGCATTTTAATATTAATTATCTTATATTGCTATTATTATTATTGAATTAATAATTTTGATACATTACCTCTTATCCGGTCGTAACGGGGCAATAAATACACGTTATCAATATCGAAAGCTTCTTTCACATAAATCTCTAGAGGAGTTCGTCCAACCAACGCTTGAAATAACACGATGGCGAAAGCCCACCAGTCACAGTAAAAATCTACAAACAATACATTCATTAATACATCCAACAATATGATCCAATGATGTGAAAGTACAAATGTGAAAGTACAAGTCTTTACCGTAAGGCTTCCTCTGGAGAATTTCCGGACACATAAATGATAAAGTTCCACAATAATCTCTTGGATTTTGTTCGTACTGAAAAAAATAATAATAAAATAGTTAAGAGATCGTTAAAAAGCTACAGTTCAAGAATATTACAATGTATATGCTTACTGTGGATAGACCGAAATCAATTACTTGTGCACCTTTGTACACATCTAACATAACGTTGTTTGAACTAATGTCTCGGTGTATTATTCCTATTCAAAATAAAAACATTACTTTGCCACTCTTTACACATTTCTGGACTAAACAAGCAAATAAATCTACAGCGAATAACTACCATTACTATGAATATACATAATAGCAGAGGCCACTTGAGCGGCAAACACTTTTGCTTTTCTCTCCGGTATAGGGCCATTCTTTTGTATAAATTCGGTCAAAGTTTCTCCCTGGACAAAATCCGAGACAAAGCAATAGCTAAAACATAAAACTTATTACTTCACAGAGCACAAATTATTATAAATAACTCACGAGAAAAGAGAAAAAACACTTACGCTGTGTCAGTTTGCAGGAATCGAATCAATCTGACAATGTTTGGATGGGCGGACACGCAATTCCAAACGATTGTTTCTCTCCGGATTTCACCAAACTATAAATAAATTAATGATGATTACACACGAAATATAAATTTTAAATATTGTTTAAATATTACTAATGTAAATTCATAAAACACTGATTACTCTTATTCTCAATATACTATTAAAAATTATTATTGTTTTAATATATATATATATTTAGTGATTAGTGTGTATATTCCGGAAATTGTTCTTAATCCCCTTAATATTGATAATTTTTGTTAAAAAATACCTGATTAGAAGAAGAGACTTTCTTTACGACTTTTAAAGCCTTTTTCTTTCTAGAATATTTGGTCTTAGCCAAATAAATAGTCCCAAAACTTCCACGTCCAATTTCTTTAGTAATTTTGTACTTGCCAATATAATATTTGGCTTTATCGAAACGGTCGTGTTCTTGCTTTGAATCTGCGAGTTTCTTTTCCGGTTCGTAAGTCTACAAAATTATAAAAATGATTATTTATTTATAAAATTTGCTAATGGAAGGAAGACAGAAGGAACGAAAACTTACTTCGGAACCAGAAATCTCGCCTGAAATGCAACAACACAACAAAAATTTATGGAATAAATTAGTTAAAAATCCCATAAACTTTCCTTTCTTCTGCTTATTTGCTTGCAACTGCGACTCGTCTAGATTCGAGAAGTCACATTTTGTTGCAGGCGAAACTTTGCCATTCTACGAAACATCAAGGTAAAAATTATCGATGTTTGCAAACGTTATCGTTTTAAAATTAATCAAAAAATCTTCGTTATCTTAATCTACTCAAAGAAAAATTGTGATTTTCTTACAGAGAAATCAATGGTTTACCTGAAATGAGCAATCTTTATTTTCCTGAACACTCGGTTCAGAATCTTCTCTCCTACTACAGAGAAACTATATTAATTCTTACATAATATTATAGAATAATTAAACACAATTTCTGATTAAATTTACCTTTTCTTCTTCATATTATTTCTCGAAATTCGCGAAACAACTTTTTCGGCGCAGCGAAACATTCCACTCAACAATAGCAACTCAACAATTGAACTCGAAAGTATTGTTGAAAAATTCATTCTAATGACGTCATATTAATAAATTTTATATTTTTCTTATATGCTTTAAGAAGATCTTTTTATGAAGTTCATTGTGGGTGCGGCTAGACCCGCAATGGGACAAAGTAATGGAAGACTGCATTCTTCATATGCAGGACAGACCGTTTTCCAGAAATATTGGGGTTTTACTTCGAATTGGAATCGTCACCTTTAATCGTTCGATAAATGTCTCGTCATCTCATTTTACTGTTAAATACTGCCAATATGAAGTGTTTATAATTACAATCGACTTTGTATTTATAAAAATTTGCTCGTAGTTTTAATATAAACTTATATAGTTTATTCTTAATTATTTATTCGATCGTGTTAAAATCTATAAATTGAACACACTTTAATACTGAGAAAGCACATTTATTGAGCTAAACAAAAGTTTTCAACTTATTCCATGGGACATCATCATGTTAAAGTCATTCGAATTAATGGCTTTTTGTATAACGCGTTCAAATTTAAATTATATTAAAACGTAATTAAGAAAAATAAAATACAAAATACGGTAATTTCTCACAATACAACATGTAAAAAATTATTTATAGTAACTCAGGTATTTATTGAACCTGGTAAATGTATCATCTTACGAGTTCTTTCTGTTTATATATATTCATGCCGACGGGAAAATGGTCGCATGCTTCTGGTTTAAACATTTTTCTGTTAAGCTAGATCTGTAGATCTCACACTTCTGTGTTGTGGATGCAAGCGTTGGCGAGTGCTTATTTGCAATGATTGTGGCCTCTTCCCATTTAACTATGGATCCATCTGTCTGTGCAATTTTCGATAACACTGTTGTATATCGGCTCTTTGCTACATCGTACTTATGCTCTTTCATCCTTACGTTAAGATTTCTATTTGTGACTCGTATATATTCTTTATCTATTTTTAATTGGTCATTCTTGTACGGTATTGGATACACTCCTGGTTGTTCTTTTTCATTAATTTCTTCTTTGTTATTTCTTAGCAACGTATATAAAGTGGGAGCTCTATTGTATACAATATTGGTGTTTTGTAGTTGTCGATTTCTTTCGTAACCGGAGATAGAAGCTTATTATATGTGAATTTTGTAATGTTACTGCTTCCATCTGGTTTTTTCTTCTTGCTATTTCTAGGATCGTTGTATGCGGTAATTAGGCGTTTCACAAGATCCTGTTCCCAATCCCAACACTTTCGCCACTTCTTTAATTCTATTTAGCTCTTCTATCGTGTCCATCATGTTAGAGCAATACAAAAACGCTGTTCTGATTAGAGCCCTAAAGGCAGAGTGTTTGTATGCAATTGGATCATTAGATGTTGATGGTATATATATCGGATCATGAGTAGGCTTGATATACCCATTTGTGCACAGTGATCCGTTCCGAAAGTTGATGTTAATGTCCAAGAAATATAACTCGTTGCTACTAATCTGATTCAGGTTCAGTTTTAAACCATGCTGGTTGGAATTCATTTGGATCAAGAATTGTTCTATCTTTGTGTCGTTCTTCCATATAATAAGCACATCATCAACGTATCTTTTGTATAAGATTATGTCTTCGTTGAAATTGATAATTGTACTGTGCTCCATTTTTCTTACAACCAACTCACAGAGCAGGCCAGACATTGGGCTGCCCATCGGGACTCCCTTTAACTGTTTAAAAGTTTTACCTTCGAAACTGAAAATGATTGAAAGCATACAAGATCTGTCATCATCTCGAGGTCCTTGCGATACTTGGATGCATTCGGGTGCAACTCACATAATAGTTTTAACAGAGTATCAAAACATGAAGCCAGATTTATCGATGGATACATGCTCTCGAAGTCCATAACAAATCCAACTTCGTTATTTATTAACNTCGTGTTAAAATCTATAAATTGAACACACTTTAATACTGAGAAAGCACATTTATTGAGCTAAACAAAAGTTTTCAACTTATTCCATGGGACATCATCATGTTAAAGTCATTCGAATTAATGGCTTTTTGTATAACGCGTTCAAATTTAAATTATATTAAAACGTAATTAAGAAAAATAAAATACAAAATACGGTAATTTCTCACAATACATGTAAAAAATTATTTATAGTAACTCAGGTATTTATTGAACCTGGTAAATGTATCATCTTACGAGTTCTTTCTGTTTATATATATTCATGCCGACGGGAAAATGGTCGCATGCTTCTGGTTTAAACATTTTTCTGTTAAGCTAGATCTGTAGATCTCACACTTCTGTGTTGTGGATGCAAGCGTTGGCGAGTGCTTATTTGCAATGATTGTGGCCTCTTCCCATTTAACTATGGATCCATCTGTCTGTGCAATTTTCGATAACACTGTTGTATATCGGCTCTTTGCTACATCGTACTTATGCTCTTTCATCCTTACGTTAAGATTTCTATTTGTGACTCGTATATATTCTTTATCTATTTTTAATTGGTCATTCTTGTACGGTATTGGATACACTCCTGGTTGTTCTTTTTCATTAATTTCTTCTTTGTTATTTCTTAGCAACGTATATAAAGTGGGAGCTCTATTGTATACAATATTGGTGTTTTGTAGTTGTCGATTTCTTTCGTAACCGGAGATAGAAGCTTATTATATGTGAATTTTGTAATGTTACTGCTTCCATCTGGTTTTTTCTTCTTGCTATTTCTAGGATCGTTGTATGCGGTAATTAGGCGTTTCACAAGATCCTGTTCCCAATCCCAACACTTTCGCCACTTCTTTAATTCTATTTAGCTCTTCTATCGTGTCCATCATGTTAGAGCAATACAAAAACGCTGTTCTGATTAGAGCCCTAAAGGCAGAGTGTTTGTATGCAATTGGATCATTAGATGTTGATGGTATATATATCGGATCATGAGTAGGCTTGATATACCCATTTGTGCACAGTGATCCGTTCCGAAAGTTGATGTTAATGTCCAAGAAATATAACTCGTTGCTACTAATCTGATTCAGGTTCAGTTTTAAACCATGCTGGTTGGAATTCATTTGGATCAAGAATTGTTCTATCTTTGTGTCGTTCTTCCATATAATAAGCACATCATCAACGTATCTTTTGTATAAGATTATGTCTTCGTTGAAATTGATAATTGTACTGTGCTCCATTTTTCTTACAACCAACTCACAGAGCAGGCCAGACATTGGGCTGCCCATCGGGACTCCCTTTAACTGTTTAAAAGTTTTACCTTCGAAACTGAAAATGATTGAAAGCATACAAGATCTGTCATCATCTCGAGGTCCTTGCGATACTTGGATGCATTCGGGTGCAACTCACATAATAGTTTTAACAGAGTATCAAAACATGAAGCCAGATTTATCGATGGATACATGCTCTCGAAGTCCATAACAAATCCAACTTCGTTATTTATTAACGATAGCTCATGCAGATTATTTATCAAGTTAAACATGTTTTTTTTTGTTACAAATTGGTAGTCTTCAATCAGCTCCGACAAGTACTTATGCATACGTTTTTCCAGCTTATAGGTGGGTCTTTTACATTTCTCTACAACTGGCCTAATTTCGTTGTTGTTTATATGCGTTTTCGCGAACCCAAACAACCTGGGTACACTTGGGCTGGTGATATGAGCTACTTTCAGGAAGGGGAAGATTGATGTTATGGGCGATTTTTCCAGTTTCCTTAATTTTCTATCGATTTTATCTACTATACCACGGTCAATTCTTTCACATTCTGTTTTTCTTATGTAGTCTTCTAGGGCTTCATTATATCTTTGCTTCTTCATTATCACCAAATGTTTACTTTTATCAGCCCTAGTGACTATTAGATTATTGTCCTTCAACCATTTTCTTGCGTGGTTAATGCCAGCGTCCTCGCCATGCTTCTTTGTGTATTTTTCGGTTCTGAACGTTGCTTTTCATCTGAAATACGAGGTCTGTTCAAAAAGTATTTGACCTTTGGTCCTCAAAAATACATTTGTTGATTTTGAGGTACAAAACCCTAATCCCCTTCAAAGTAGTCTCCTTGGTAGTGTATACACTTCTCCCAGCGTTCCTGCCATTGCTGGAAACACTGCTGTAACGTATCTTTTGGAATGGCCATCAGCCGGACCGTCGCATTCCGTACGATGTCTTCTCTCGACTAAAATCGGGTTCCTTTTAGCGGCATTTTCAGCTTGGGAAATAGCCAAAAGTCACACGGAGCCATATGGGGATAGTACGGAGCGTGACGAACCACAGGAGTGTTGTGTTTGGCGACGAAAGCCGGAATCAGATGCGCAGAATGGGCGGATGCGTTATCACGATGAGCTGCCAAGTTTTGTTCGACCACAGATCCGGTCGTTTGCGTCGAACAGCATCGGAAAGACGACGAAGGACCTCCTGGTAGTACTCCTTTGCGATGGTTTGGTCTCGTGGTGCGTACTCACGATACACCACCCTACGAGAGTCGAAAAACTGTCAACATGACCTTGATATTGCTGCGGATTTGCCGCGTTTTTTTGGCCTCGAGGATCGTCCCCCAAAGCCTGTTTAATCTTGCGAATGGTTTACGCTCGAATATCGCCAAGGGTTTTGGCAAAATTTGATGTAATATCGCTGCTCACGTTGTTCAGTCATTTTCCAACTTAGTGGAATTCAACTAAGAGCTCGCTACATGTCCTCACTCATAGGCCGACTGCTAACGACTAACGCTTCCTGCAGGCGGGAAAAAATTCAGGGCTGTGCATGACTGTCTCCTCCACAACTCCACCGAAGGAGGCCTCCCGCGCATCATTAGTTTACGCGGAAAAAATAAAAGTCTGATACTTTTTGAACAGACCTCGTAGTCTTTGTCAATCTCATTAATACCTATGAGCCCTCTTTCAATTTCAGCTATTGTGCCTCGCCAGTTTCTAGTGTTGTCCAAAGCATAATTAGGTCCTTTTTCAAGAATTCGTTTGATGTCTTGCGGCAGTTGGATCTGGTCCCATATTATATAAGGG